TTTTTTCTTCTTCTCCCCAGCTCCCCCACCACCACCACCACCACCATTAAAGATTGGCCTGTTCGGTTAGAAATGTGTTACTTGGATTTGGAATGCAAATGCTTTGTTCACGAGGAGGAGGGATCAGCGAGGAGTCTGAAAGCGACGAGTTTTTGATTAATGAGCTTTGAAATGGCTCTCCAGGAGCAATAAAGGATGAACTGCTCTCTCTCTTTCTCCCTCTCTCTCTTAGTCACACACCCCTCTGCATCTTGTCCTGTGTCAAGGAATCGCCGTGTATTTTTCTGTTTTGTCACCAGTCTGCTTTGTCTTACACCGACCATGAAAACAAATGGCCATATATATATATATATATATATATATATATTAAGCGAGACTATATATGCTCAGTCTCGCTGAGCACCAATCAATTAGACAGTAGTCAGTGATTAGGCTTTGGTCTTTGCTGGAAAATTGAGCTTATTTTCTTGTCTCAGCAAGCAGGAGGCTAATCATGTGGCCGTCTCTAAAAAAAAAAAAAAGAAGAAGATAAGTGACATGTGGAAGATGCAATAAGCCCGTAGACTCACTTCCCTCATACCAATAAAACATCAATAACCTCCAGAGCCTTTTATTCCGCTGAAATGCACTTTGCATTGGAAGCATAGAGCCGTCTGATGAGTTTTAGATATCCTGGTGTCTAATTATTGATTGTCTCTCCCCGTTTAGGCTGTACAGTAAAGCTGTGGGTCAATACGCCTCCTCGGCACAGTTACCTGACAGATTCACTGGCAGCAACAGCAGCAGCTGAATGAGAAATTAAAAATAATGAGAAGCTGCAGGGTAACCAGAGTTCCTGCTGCAGGGTTTGTTGAAAAAGAAAGAAGGGGGAAAAGAAAAGGAAATCAACAAAATGCAATAAAAAACGAAGTTTAAGCACTTTATTTACAAAATGTTGAACACAATAAAATATAACATTTCAATATCATTAGGGTTTCATAAATTTATGGATATCCAACTGAATGGAATAACAATGGAAGACAAATAAAAAATAGCAATGGACTACACAAAATGACATGCTGGTGTGTATAATATTTGATACTTCGATAGTCTACGTTTTGCTTAAGATTTGACACAAGAATAACCATGGACATATAGTGATGTTTATACACTATAAAATGTCCCATTTGTCCCAGATTTACAATTAGAAATGCTCTTTTTTATATACCAACAACACATTGCGAGTCATAGCATTTTCCAAACCCTGTTTTGCCCACACTTCCAAGTGCACTGATCTGTCCAATCTTACAACAAACTCCACACGTATAAATACTCGCATATAAACGATAAATAATGTGCAATACAAAAGTAATTAAATAATAAATAGGCTATATGCTAGTACAAAAGATTATGCAAATCAAAAGAAAAATACAAAACAATAAATAAATTGGGGTGTGCGCGGGGGGAAATGAGAGCCTAACAAACAGACAAAAAACTTCCCTAAAAATCCTTCTCGCTAAGGATGCGCTTCTATTTTTGTGATCTACAAGACTTACCTTCAAGTAATGGCATGAAATACTCAGTCAAAAAGAAAAAAAAAACAATTGCGCATTGCACTTGAGAAAAAACAAGAACAAAAAAAGAACTACTGACAACCGGGCTATCTGCTTCTCCGCATCCCCAAATATTCAAGAGAAATGGACAAAGCTGTATTATTTAGAAAATAATTACACAATAGCATTAATAGTAATATCAATAATACTGTAATAATACACACGACTCGCTTGGAGTGTAGTTATTAGACTAGTGAGGTAATAAAAAAAGAGCGCAACATAATCTTGGCACACACACACGCAAACATACACGCGCACGCACACGCACACACGCGAAACCACATATTACAAATGCGTCAGTTTAGGCGCTTCCTGAATCCTTCCCTGAGACGCTTGGTGAGAGGTGAGGTCTGTGTATGTGGGATGGGGATCACAGGGTCCATGGTGGTGGTTTCCTGGGATCTGTGCGGCACAGCTGTAGTCCACACTGGTGGATGAGGGGTGGGGAAGATGGCCGAGGTTGAACATGGGGCCCGAGGCTGGCATGGAATCAACAAAATTCCCACCCACGTAAACGGGGCTGCTTTGCAAATTGGCGTTGGCAAAGCTGCCGTTGCTCTGCATGCCGTGGTGTTCGTACTCGGAGCCCGGGTATCTCTTCTGTTGTGGGATGCAGCCACCCAAGGGTGCCGTGTACGCGGCCAAGCCGTACATATTTTGCTGGGGTTTGGCAAAGGACGGGGGTGAGGGTGCGTCATAGCTGAGGCTGTTCACATTTTGGAGCTGGCCAGAGTATCCAATGTGATTTGGGCCACTCAGCGGCGGGCTTCTATCCGGGGAATGTCCCAGGGGGGAGTGCGCCAGCCCTTTAGACTTCTGGTCCTTTTTGTATTTCATCCTCCTGTTTTGAAACCAGATCTTTATTTGGCGCTCGGTGAGATTCAACAGATTTGCCATTTCCACCCTCCGAGGACGACAAAGATAGCGGTTAAAGTGAAACTCCTTCTCCAGCTCCACAAGTTGCGCGCTGGTGTAAGCAGTTCTGACCCGTTTGGACGCTGGTCCCGGTGGGCTTTTTTCATCACTCACTTCACCACCTGTGAAGGAATCACAGAATCATCTTAGGGTCTTTTGAACAATGTGAGGAATAATTTATAAATTCCATGCCCACCCTGATCCCTCCCTACCCAAGCACACCTCTACACGCTCACACAACATACACAGACACTACACATACACGTCACCATCATGATCACTACCTGCGGTGGCACAGTTGTTTGAGTTCTTCTGCTTTGAGTTCTGTCGGGTCTCCTTCATCCAGGGGAATATCTGCTTGGTGAGGGCTGGTGTGGCACTGCTGGAAGCACTGCTGGATGGGGATTTCTTCTTCTGAGATGCAGAGCTGTTGGAGCTAGGGGAAGATGCAGACAGTGGAGGAGCCTGCTGCTCTGAAATACTAGTCGCTTGGTTGTTGTTGTTATTTTGACTGCTGCTTTGTCGCATGCAGTCTCCGTTCAGGTCACTGTCTTTTAGGGCTGGTGGCCGGACTGCAGCTGTCTGAATGGGACAAACTGAGCCCTGGTAGTCGCTGTCTATGTTTGAAGTAGGATAGGACTGGTGTGCGGGCCCATAGTTGTAAGAGTCTGGTTTGGGGTAGGTGTAGCCTCCAAAAAGTCCAGAGTTGTCGTAGTATGTTGCTTTCTGCATTTTGTGGATTCAAAGCCAGTAAGCCAGTGAAGCTTTATCCAGTTGCATGAGTGTTGTTTATTTACGTGATTGGTGTTTCCCACCGCTGCTCCACTCTGTGACCTATAAAAAGAAACATCTCTCACTGTAACGCCACAGAATGTGTGAGATGCAGCGTTTGAAATCCACATTAAACCAAAAGGCACAGCTTGCTTGGCCCAGACTGAAGCTACTGTATAGAGCATTTGGTGCTTTCTAATTAAACAACTAGAGCAATTAAATTAGAAAAGCACCAAATGTCTTCAAACTGTCTATGACAATGCTTCATCTCCAGCTCGTTCGACTCGTTTCTTGGCACAAAACAGTTAAAGTTTAACTTGGACTAAAAGGACCCTCTGGGAGGCTCTGGGAGTCCCTTGCAAATAAGCTGAATCAGCATTTGACACACACGTACACACAATACCCTTTTCAGTAATCACAAGGCCTGACAAAGCCCCTAATGCATTCATTGTTCACGCGCGCACAGGCATTAGGATCGCATGTTGAAGAGCGCAAGAAGCACAACACTGAACTCCCGCACTGTTCATATAAAAATGTAGCCGTGTGAGAGGGTTAGAAAGAGAGAGCGAGAGCGAGAGAGAGCGAGACAGAGAGAGAGGGAGAGAGAGAAAGGGAGGGATAGCGTGGTAGTGAGAGAGAGAGAAAGATGGGTTGGGTTGGGCTGGGTTAAATATGACATTTCACCAGCCTTTACGCACATCTCAAACATTATAATTTGGCTGCTTGGTCGGTTTTCTTCTTAAAGATTTATGTGTAATTATCTTGAATTATCTTTTTTAAACTTTTGGAGGATATTTTTGAAAACCAAAAAATTATTATTAATATTCTCATTATTTTACCAATATGATAAAAAGCATGACAACATTTAAAGTAAGCCGAAACAAAAATACCAAAGGGACCCTCCTGTACTGTATGTTGGTGGCTTTACGAGGTGCAGCCTGCGCCGTGCATAACAATTGCACCTGTCAGTTTGGACCGCGGCAAAATTTATGACCGCAAATGTTATGGTTGTAAACGGCCTGAGAGAGGGGAATGAAAAGCAAAACACTCCTCAAGACTCACAGCCCCTCAGAAGTGTAAAACTAAGCGTAGGAGGAAGGCAAGGGAAAGAATTTCATAGTCGGCGACTTCTCCCATGAAGAGGCTCGGTTTATAAATGATGCCTCCATTCTGGCTTAGTGCGAGTCTCCAGCTAAACACAGAGGTGGAAAGCACGGAGCTGTTTTGCTGCTTTGAATAAGGCACGGGGATACTGGCGAGGTCTTGAAAAACTCTACTTTTTTTTTTCTTTTTAATTTTCTTATTGTGTGTGCTCTCACTGTTTAATTCCGGCAACGCTGCTAAAAAAGGAAATGGGACTTACTGAAATTGGACTCTGGCCTGCGTAAATAATTACACGTACAGGTTAAGACCATCCTTCATGTCTGTTTTCTTGATTTAAGCCTCCTGTGAAACACTGTGAGCGTAAATATGTAGCCTAATAACAAATCACCCTTTCACCTTGTTAGCAGTTGGCTGTGTTGTCCTCTCCCTTCATTAAAAAAACGTTACTCACCGAAATCTGCGCAGATCTGTTTTATACCCCTCAAGCATTCACCACTGCTTCCATCTCGACCTAAAAGACAAAAATAATAACACAAATAAATGTATTGTTATTAGTCTGAGCCCTGCGTTATTTTCGATGCATGTTGTGTTACAAATGAGTGATACATTTTTAGTTGTAGTATTTTTTTAAATTTAGATTTATGTGTAAACTCAAGCTAAACTAAACAGTTCTAGATAATTAATTGAAAAATATAGTAGCTTAATAGAACTGAGGCGTTAGTTCCATATTTTCCAGCGTTTTTATTGTATGTCTATTTTTATTTCACTTTTTTTTTTTTTTTACTTTTTTCTTCTTCTTTTGCTTTCATTTTCTTGAGACTGAAAAGTCTGACTATGTTGCAACTTTTGTACAAAAGAGTTCAGGCCAAATATCTAGCACTCATAAGCGTTTTAGGTGACCTTAGGGTCATTCAGCAGTAAGTCATAGTTTAATGAACAACGAAACAGTTTGCCTTAAAGAAGAGCCAAGTATCGACTAAATTCACAGCAGCTTTTCAGCGCTAAGAGAAACAGGACAAGATGCTCGACCGACGGCAAGGAAACCAGAACTTCAAACCCAGAAATCTTCCAGATAATTATATTTGCAGTGAGTGTAAAAAAAGAAACAAACAGCTCCTGTTTCATTGCATCTATCCGAGGAATTTAGCTTCATAGTATCACGATTCAACTGTAGGATTTTTTCATGAGGATTTTCTAAAAAGCCGGTCGATAGTCTGCACCTCGAGTGTTTTTGAGCACACTGAGCTACTAGTAGCAGACATGGTTCCCTTTTCACGCGGCTGTGTTTTTCGCCTACGCGTTGTTACGGTAAGTTTGATCCACACAATGGGTCGGACTCAATCTGGAGTGTTATTATCTCACTTAGTCGTTTCTTCAGCTTAACCTTTGAAAATCTATTAATAAGAGGGAAGTTTGTATAACTGGAAATATATATATATTATTTTTAAGCTAAGTTTATAATTTTACACAATGTATTCGCTGCTGTTTTGAAACAACGAAAACGAAAACAAAACACAAATTGCGTTTTGTTTGTTTTTTTGCAGAAAATTGTATAGTGCTTACAAATTCCCATACTTGAGTGAATTGGTCAAATCTGTATTTCAGCTTTTACTAGAGTATTTTTAAACTTTTTTTTTTTTTTTTATTTTTTTTTTTTTTAAGAGGACAAGAGTGGTAATTATGAGCAGCTCAGGCCTATAATACAAAAGCTGCAGTGCACAAACATTAAATCTTTATCCAAAGTAAAACAGTAAACTGAACGAAAATGGGTGGAAATTATCTCAAATTTGAGTTTATTGCCATGTGTTCTTAGACCTGCTGCTCATCAGTCCAAAGAGAGAGAAAATATATTTGCATGGAACAAATTAGCCATTAAGGTATCCAAACATTAAAAAAAATAAACGCATTTGCATTGTCCTTGTTCACTATTCAGGACCTCCTATCCCTTAAAGCATCCACTATAAATTCACCTATAATATAACGTTGCAGGTTAACAAAGCCATACTATTGAACCCACATAAATCAACGGCAAACGCCAGCGAGTGAGGATAAGACAACAAATTAATGTGATTTACGATCCAAGAGTCAAAAAGAAAAGTTCCTCTCCCACTTTTTCCTCCGAGCAGGTTTTCATAAACGTGAAATCAGCTGAAAAGCGCAGGGTAGCTTAGGCTCGATCTGTCGATAATATTTGAACGCAATTTCTCGAGGAAAAAAAAACTATAATAATGGTAATAATATGAATCTGCTTTTGAAGAGATAGCTTTGGGCTCCATACCCGCGCGTTTGCCGGTGAGAGCGACGTTAACGAGCATCGCCTCCATGAATGGAATGAATCATATATATTTCCTTGGATTATATTAACCCGTGGTTAAAGGTTGCTTTCTGCCATGCAATTTCTTACCTGTGAATCAATTCATCATAAAGCAGTTCCCTCTCAGTCTCAGTTCCTTTCCACGTTGTCTCAAGAATAAATCCTTCACCCTTTGTCTGTAGACAATGCTGTCCTAAACCTGATCTTGCTGTTTTTCAGACATTTCCATATACCAGTGGAGACAGTATTCCCGAAAGAATGGAAGGACTCGCATTCAACTACCAATAAAAAGCGAACAAGGTATCCTTATTCCTGAAAAAAATCACTGGCAATCAATCACCCAGTGAAATATACAGGAATTCAAAAACGGAGAGGCCTGTAAAGATTTGCAGCTAACATTGGGATTTTGGGGTGTTTCGGAAGCTTTATGATGACAAATAAAGGCGCTGCCTTAAGGTACAAGCATATTTGTTCACGTGATTGTTCCCTTCTTCAAGTAAGCCTTACCTCACCAATCCATTTTGATAAAGGGTGGCGTTTATTTCCTCATCTGAACTGTGTGAATGTGAAAATGTTCCTCTGCCTATTTCTTTTTATCTCCCCATGAGCTGCGAGCTTTGCAGCTCGCCTGCACTTCAGCGTTTAAACCCAAGCAGATATGCTTTTGTTTGGGTGCTCAACGTGCAAATCTAGACATCTTTAACCTCCCCCCCACAGAGGCACTGAAGTGCAATGCATGTGCGCAAAAAATGATCTGTGCATTTTATGTCACAGAAGATTTGAAATTTCCAACATTTATGAAGATTTCTTTTTCTTTGCCTCACTCCCCCTAAAGATAGAAACTAGCGGGGATTTCGCAATAAAACGAATAAAGAGGGCCTCACTCACCACATTTTGCATAATATTGAAACGTTTTAAAACGCGGTTCTGTGTAATTTACAAACAACTGCGCAATGATGTGGGAGTGCATTTTAAAAAATGATTTATGAAATAAATGACGTGTGTGTTTTTTCTTGCAACTGGGAACGGATTGTATTCAAATAAACCACATTATCATCTCGTGTTTGTTGTGTCTGTCTTCCCACACAGCTGAAGCACAAAGAGGCACGGAGCCAGTGTCTTCTTGCATTGTTTTCGGTACTAACCCCACACTATGCCAAATAATGGCACGCTTTAATACCAGAGAAAATATACCGAAAGGCCAGACTCTAAGATTTCGAACCACAGAGACGGTTCTCGGACCTGGTTGGTTCAGCGGTGGGCAATCTTTGCTAGAGAAGAAGAAGAAGAAGAAGGGATGCCGGACTGGTAGCGTCTCAGCATATGTTCAGAGGGTAATAAAAGTGAAAGATTTACAGTTTTCGCCCGGCCCCCAACAGCCTCGCACCCTTTCAGGGATAACTGAGAATGATTTACAAGGAGGCAGAACTGTCAGCCTGGCCGAACTTCTAGGACTTCTAAGAAATCAAAATTAGATCATCCCCCCACTAACAATAAAAACAATAGAAAATGATTGTGCTCTAAAGCGAAAGGGAGAGATAAATAACTAGGAATTTGTCTTATGGTTAAAAATACAACACCAAAAATCGCGATTTCTGCTTCGCAAACAAGACAAGTTAATTTTAATGCTTTCTTTAAACATATTCAATTTACTTCAGATTAAAAGAAACAAAAACAACTTCACATTAAATTAGCAAAAATCCAAATTAGACTCTGAATAAGGAGTCTATGGGCCCAAAAGAGGGAGCAGACTAAGCTGCATGTGTCCGAAAGAGCAGTTATTCAAAGCGAGCATCCATAAATCCTACTTGTCACTGCCATTTACTTTTTTCACATTAGTCCCATCAGTCCATTTCAAGACATTTGCAAACCGCAAAACTGAAAAATTATGCTACTGCTAATATATTTAATTTATTTATTTATTTTTAAAAAAGAAGAAGGCATGCGTACAGCGACTAGCCACAGCCTATACAATTGCGCTCAGAGCGCACACATCAAAGGGAGCAATTTATCAAATATCACGACATTTGATATCGTCATTTACCAGCTGGGGCAACATGAAAAATGTTGAAATATTTACCTACCCAAGCATCCATCGGTTCAGATGTGTTGCTAAAGTGCGGGACTACAGTTGCGCCGGGAATCGGATATTATTTTCTTGGGGGATCTCTTCAGTTTTCAAGTCTGATAGAGTCCTTGCGATTAATGACGACGCCGTGTTTCTAGGGGGACGTGCTGCATTAATTATTTAGACAATCACGTGGTCGAGAATAGAGAGCGGAGTGGTATAGTCTCTGGATTATATCTCTGAATGCAGACAGCGCACTTTAATATATCTTAGGGGGGTTGTCTGGCTCGGAGAGGCTTCTTGCGAAAACAGCTGGAAATCAAATATGGCCGGATGGAGAGCAACGACGTTGTATTCCTGCACTGGGTGCAGTGTCATTGAAAATGGCACTGCCTTTGGCTCCCATTTATTGCTGTTCAGACATGTAGGTCAGTGTGGCTACACACTGCACGTTGTAGTAGGCTGCTCTGACCTGATAACTGCCAAGGAAACTATGATATTGGCATTAGTTCAATTCATGCATTATATATCAGACGCTCAAAACACCCAGGTTTTATATTAAGTAGCTAAAAATAATAATAATAAAAAAGCAACCTTTGGTTAAGTTAGAGCTTGTAATGTATTTTAGGTAGGTTCTCCCCCATCACCCCCTTCTAGTCGCTTCTCCCCAGTCCCCCCCACCCACCCAGCCCCCCCCTCTCTCTCGCTCTCTCTCCCTCTCTCTCTCTCATCTTCTCCTCAGCATCTATATGGAGATCATTTTTGGCAGGATGGTGGATTGGTAGCATCACTTTGTCTCTGCTTCTCTCCACATCCGTGTGACAAACTTACATTTTATGTATACACAAACGTTTATGCGCGGTGCACGCACGTGCTCAGTGGGCATCAGCCCGTGGTCACTGGGGATGAAAAGTGTTTGGATGCAGGTTGTCTTTACAAATGCATACATATGGTCACATTGTTTGTATCCGAGCTGATCCTGTAACGTGAAGGGGTCGAAGGTCGGTATTGCTGCGTCTCATCCTCAATAAAGCCTCAGCTTGTGGATCATGGGGGGTTGGGGGTTAATATTAACCATAAGCAGAATATAGGTATGCTTTAATAGCCTAAAGTTCTATACTGTGCTATTGGGTGTTTGTTCCTTCGTTCTAATACAGCTCTAACAAATGTGGCGTGAATTAGTCTTGGAGAAGGACCAACTCCTCTTAACAAGTTTTCCCTGTCAATTTGAGTCTTATGAGGCCACTAGAGATAATTTGTGCTTCCACTGCACCGTAAAGAACCGTCTAAATAACTTTTACGCATTGAATGTGGTTTTTATGGCACAAAAATAATAATAAATAAATTAAATAATCCCCACTAAGAGTTTTTTTTTTCCTAAGGGGAGGTTTTTGCGCAGTGCTTGCTCTCGCTTTGTTACGAACTCATGAGTAAAATGAAACGGCAAAGTAAAAAAAAAAAAACCTCTTCTATTTTATTTTATTTTCTAAATAATAAAAATACACTTGTGTGCTTAAATTTAGGACCTGCCAAGACAACAGGCTGCATTTGTGTATCCACTGGCCATTTGGTCCATTTGTAGATGTTTTGTAAAAGCGGCCTTTAGTTCCATATGGTTCCACACGCTTGTAACTCTTAGGTGAAAAAACACTTGGAGCAAAGCTGTCCTTTGCGTCTAGCGTAAACCAAATGGCACCAAATAACGCAAACAAAGAAAAGTTACTCTAAAATTTCAAGCTATCGGGGAAATAATAAATAACCCCGGGGTCGAAAAAATATATGTATTTCTTCTAAATCAAAATCTATCTTGAGTGCAGGAAATAAACATCCCAGAACACACACAGTCTCCCAAATACTTAAATGCATAATCAGTAGAAATCTTTATTTTTTTTTTATTCAATATACTTCTCACATCTCAATGCACCGTACAAGGTAAAAAGCATGTACAAAAATAAAAACGAAAAGATTGCATATAGACACGAGGAGACAAACGCACAAATCAGAACCTTTTCGGGGGCTTCGCCTGGTATAAATACTGTTTAAACACGTGTAAAACGAGGAATTCAGCGGCTCTTACTTTGAATCAGCTTTAGCCTTTTTTCTTTTTCTTTTTTTTTTTTTGAGGGTGGAACAGTCCTCCAAAGCAAAGCGAACAGCGCCTGGGAGAGAAATGCTGCCTGTCCGGCGGGTCAGGGGTGCTGGGGTCAGTCCTTGCGGCTGAAATGTGTCCCCTGGATGAACCTGCCACTGCTGCTTTGTCGACCTTCGGTTGAAATACCTTTTCAACTCTCTCGTCAAGAAGACTTCAGAAAGGAGACCTCCACATACTGGGAGAGCTTCTTGGCTTTTTGTCCGAGGACAAAGACGGTATAAAACGAGAAATATCTGTCTTGAAACATGACCTGAAAGAGCCCCATGGATAGCTTGGTTGTGAATGAAAAAAAAAAAAATAGAAGATTCCCATGTTAACTAAGACTAAAACTTTGCATAAGGCCATGCTAATAACGCACAAGAGTTCAAACATATTTCGGAATAATAAAGGTTTAACGAATACTTTTAATTTAATTGTGTGCTATACGAAAAAATGTACACGTTTTTAAACAAATAAATAATGACGCAGAAATCGTCTGAAAAATAAAAAATAAAATACTGCTAAATCTCCAGGATTTGATTATTTCCGATTGGAAACATCTAGTATCAATTTGATGCCATGCAAGAACAAATGATCTTTCATAGGAGAGTTTTAAATGGCACAAGAGAGCCTCTGAAAATGTACACTGTTTACAAAGATGTCAGGAAAGATTTATAAGGGCACTCTGAATAGTATGCACACAGGAATGTCTTGTGTTTGGGAAATAACAATTTTAAAATTTCAAAGCTTTTTTTTTGTACAAAATAAGTTAAAACATACAAGTCACAAAAGATTCAGCGGGGATTTCTGAAAAAGGTTGAGGAGTGTTTGGCGTGCTCTATATGCAAATAATATTTCCTTCAAGTATACATTTATATATATATATATATATATATTGTGCGTTTAATGTGAATTTTTCAGTTGGCTAAAATAATTTCTGTGCTGAAAGCTGTAATAACTTTTGTGTATGTGCGTGTAATTTGAAATGATCTCACTGTTTTGTTTTTAAGCAAAGATATTTCATTGTTTAAATCAGCTGAATCCACGTGAGAAGAGCAGAGACACTTTGTTTAAATCCACTGAATCGGCCGAGGCTGCTTGATAAATGTCTCCTCAGAGGGGGCAACGTCGGAAAAAGAGGGAAGGAAAAGTTTATTTCGACGTTTTTTCTGTCTCTTTGAGGAAATTTGAACACAGAAGAGGCTCAGCTTGCAAACCTCTCGGTTTTAAAGACCGATTGATTTTCTCACTCAGACTCGAGGCAACAATGCTGGAGGGTCATGTTTGTTAAATTAAAAACAAAATGGCTAGAAACGACATCAGTCCATGCAAAAGTCAGATGTAACTTTTGTCTTTTTTATATACAGTTAATCTCTAAGGACAGGACCACTTTCCTTTCTTATAATGCTGTGATATCAGTCAGGTTATCCTTCTGAATGCTCTGCAGATGGTTGGAGACTGGTGCAGATCTCCCCTTGGTGTTGGGTAGTTTGTGATCTTTCTTCCATTTCATCCGTCTGTTTTGAAACCAGATTTTAATCTGCCTTTCGGAGAGACAAAGAGTGTGGGCAATCTCAATCCGCCGCCGCCTGGTCAGATACCTGTTAAAATGAAACTCCTTTTCTAGCTCCAGAACCTGCTGCCGGGTGTAAGCTGTTCTGGACCGCTTGGGTTCAGATCCCGTGTAATCCGGGTTCACTGGGAGAAAGAACACAAAAGAAAAACAAAACGAAACAAACAAAAGTCACTAAATGTGGTCGATGCAGCATGCAGGTAGAACATGTGCAGGACAAGAAAATTAGTTTCTCTGTCAAAGTTCATACTTTAAGGAAATTTAAACGGAACTGTCATCAGGAAACAGTGGATTATTTTAGCTAAATTAAACCAGATTTGCTCTAGATTTCATCCCAATTTCCACCGGCTAGTCTGCGTGTTTGAGGAGCTTTTAGGCGCTCACCTAGCGGCCTATTTCCTGAGCTATAAAAATTTATGACTTGTGTAATTGGCGAGGCCTTTCAAAGACTCCTATAAATAGTATACTGACTGATTTCTGGATTATAGCCCTCAGTAGAGGAAGAAGAGGAAGAAGAAGAGGAAATCTTACCAGTAGTTACGTGAACTTTCTTCATCCAGGGGTAAACTACTGCTGGCTGCTTGGCTTGTATCCCATTTTGGCTCTTTGTGTTTTGCTGCTGTCCACAAGTCCGGGGTCCGGCCACTTGGACCGGAGTCCCCTGCTCAGTCTGTGCGCTAAAATGGCTCGGGTGGCTGGCTCTCTCGTGCCCATGACCCCGTGGTTGCACTGTGGAGTCCTGCACAGTGTTGCAGCTGAAGGGTTGCTCCGTGTAGTTTGACCGTGGGTAGATCCCTGGATGCTGAAAGTCTGTGTCCTGCGATGGACTGTAGTAGTCGGAGCCCTGCTCAGGTATATAGTTATTCTGTGAATATTCCTCGCAGGGAGGAAATTTGGGATCCACATACTTAGAGTTCACCATATACGAACTCATGGCCATTAATTTCTGAAGGTAGAAAATACTAATTTTTCTCGAGTTGTCTTTTTTCCTCCCTCCATAAAGCCCTCCTACTTGGTGTCAACTGAATAAAGTTAGCGAACCATGTGACCAGATCGGCCAATAGAGGTGATGCGGGTCCAAACACTGGTAAACATACAACTAAATGCATTTTTATCTGAGTTAAGATACACAGAAATTAGAACCTGATGGAAAAAACGCAAATATTATCTTGAAACATCTGCATACGTGTTTGGAAGACAGAAAATGAGGATTTCAAAATAAATAAATAGAAAAATTGGGGGAAAATATGCACAATATTGAACTTACGAAACGTATTAAAAAGAAAACAGAATATTAAAAATGGGGATTGTCTTCTGTGCATGGTGATGTTTCATCAAAGCTGATTTCTGGTTTCTAAAGTCTAACTTAAAAGCATGGTGTTCAACAGAGAAACCAACAAAAGATACAAAAAGCCCCTTGGCATAAAGACAGCGAATAATGAGTGAGGACAATTGATGGACACTGTCTTTGTCAAGAAGGGGTCATCCAAAAGTTACACGAATCTCATCACTTCATCTGCTCCCATCCCTTTGAAAAAAAAAATCTGTCTCAGGAGCCTATTGGACAGCAGCAGCAGTCTCTGGGAATCAATAATGTAGAGACAGAAACTGCCCACAAGAGAGAAAAAAGAGCTACAGCTGGAGTGTCTGTGGCTTGGTTTCATTTAGTAAATTCATTTGGTATTTCATGCAAAGCACAGCGAGCCAAACAGGAATAGAGACACCTTCCAATGTTTATTTCCACGTGCAACATTTCATATTAGATTTCCTTTAAGCCTACAGAGTTACAGCACGACCTCTTATGAGGAATGTGGTGTTGTCAGATTTACTCTCACTCATAAACCAACACTGTTAATGTAACAACTGGAAGCACATTAGGCTTCAAATGCCTGATAACGATGGCAGTAAAGTCAATAAATCGAAGTTTTTTCATCGACCATATACTCCCCTAGAATCGAATCTGTGAATCTGGTTTCATCACACAAATTCGGTTCTACAGGGTATATATAGACGACGCGAAGCGATGCTGCCTAATTTTACCCCCTAAACCACATCACGTTTTCTTTGTGCAGCACTCTAGACTAATAAAATTAACAGAGTGGCTCACAATCAGAATAAACCAAAACCATCAAAGAAGCTGAGGTTACATAAGAAAATAAGAGGCAAGAATTAAAAACCCAGGGATAAACACATACTTTTATAAGCTATAATCACTCCGGAGTGCCCTATTTTCTTTGTTTTAGCCACGGCATTTCCTTTTTAATTTATTCCCCTTTTCTACAGTATAAAGTATGCTTTTTTCGTGGTCTTTTTTGTTGCTTATTTGAAGGAAATCTCGTCAATAGGACACACGAAACCCTCGAAGCCTTGTAAGTTGCTGGTTGACAAGGCTTCCAAAAAAGCAGAAGAAGAAAGACATAAAGAAAAGGAAAAGCAAAAATATTAGGCTACAGGCTACCTCTGCCCTGGGTGCTCCTGTCAATCGTAAGAAAATGACAAGCGTAAAGTAAATGAAAAAAAACAGCTACCAACTGAGGTCAGCCCAGCTTTCAACGCAGAAGATCTTCTTCTCTTCATCAGGCTACAGCCCAAGTTCACAGCAAGACAATACACTTCTTCAAACACCATAAATCCATAAATGACCTTAAACTTTTTAAAACTGTCAGCTCAGATTTAAAGTTAAGCCTCCGTCAAGCAATCGAGCAACGGTATAAACCCCTGAGCACTTGCCAGGTTATACAGGGGTTTCCTACCTCCGCTGTCCAAAAGATGCTACGGGCTGGAGGCCATCGAGGTCAACTCAAATCATTTACAAACTTATCAAAAAGTTCAATTATTTTTACTGCTGCTGACAGCTCAAAGGGTGCAAAAGTTTACCAAGTCGTCAGACCTTAACTAACTGCCATGGAGACCACCTCAAGCCCTACACCGAGCTTCCTCTACAAATTAAATTAGTTAAAGCTGGGCGTGATCAAGACAGATTGGCCAAAACTGAGAGAAACTGAGAGGGTCTAGCAAAAATAATACACTTTTTTTTTTCAAGGACGCTAAATCACCATGCGAGTGAGCTAATTTTATATCAGTGCGTCTATATGGAGAAAAATAACGCTGATGGCGAGAAAATATCGCAAACTCTAAAAATTTTGAGTCAGTATTTAAGCAACGAGACAGTAATTTGAATTTATGACATGTTTCCTTCTTGTCCAAAATGTGACACAATAATTGCATCTCAGCTCTGAAAGGGCTTAAAAAGCAACTGTGCCTCACACACAGACCACGTTTTCGTCTTTAATAAGAAAAATTAAACGGATAAAGAAACAAATTCGTGGCTAATTATTTGACAGGTGATGTAAACGGTTTAGTGTAATATAATAGGGAATATTATTGGCTTGCACCAACCTTGTAAAAGAGGCCTTTAATAAATAAGAATCAAACATAAAACAGTAAAATGTAAAATCAGTGTGACGCTTTGTGCTGGAGCTTCTTTAACGAATATGTAGGCCTGCGTGTAGTATGCATGTGTACATATATATGCTGTGATCTGAGCTGGAAAACTTCCGCTAAAATACGAACAAAAACTCAAAATATTCGTTACGGCCTCAATTAAATGATGAGTGCATTATTTATTTATTTACTCATTTGTTATAAATCGTCCTTGCACTTCACGTTTCAGTATTTATTAGACAGCCTGACCTGCCTTTCACCTGACCCTGCCGGTCCTTGTGACGGGTCAAAGCCGAGTTCCCCAACAAAAGAATGATAAAGTCAGCGTTTCCTGGCAGCTCGTGTTAAACCAATGGCCAACTAGTCTCCAGCTCGACTAGTTGGCCATTCACAGATATTTGTTTTCGATTTTGTAAACCATCAGCTGTGGATTTGAAAGCTGCAGAAAACAACAGGCCTGCTTATTTTTCACAAAACGTAATAAAGGGATTTTTTTTTGTCTGACAGTAATACAAAATAAAGGCTAAATACCATTTGAAGCTTGGATCAAACATGCAACCATTGCAAGACTAGATTTCTAGCAAAGGGTGACAAAATTAATAATTTAAAGGCCTGCAGTTAGAAACGCGCCAGGCCTGGGGTGAATTAAGAAAAAAGAAAATCCACATCATGTAAAGACTTAAAACTGATTTTCTTGCGAAATCAGTGCTGTTTAAAAAAAAAATATTTCTGTGTGATTGAAACCCAAAGAGAAGATGACGTTATCTAGCAAACGAATTGTGGGTGAAGAAATGTGCAGCTTAACAGTTGGACACAGCAGGAAATTAATGCAATTTAAAATAAAATTCCTTTGATTAAAATCTCAAGTTAACTGCACAAGATCACCAAACAGCTTTAAAACGACCAAACAAAGAAGCAGAACCAAAAGAGGAAGAAGAAGAATATGGTGTGGAGCAAATCAGACCAATAACACTTTTAAAAAAAAGAGTGAAGGTTAGATCCATAAAAGCTTTTCAAAACAAATCAAACAAGTACTAAACTTGAACACAACTTCATCAGAAGAGCACACTGTCTAAAAGTTACCGAGCATGCACTGCAGCTTTACAGGCAGGAAACAGTTTAGCCTGAGCATTACGCATGTGACATCACACGCCCATACCACGAGCACAATGATAAAACGCAGCTTACCGCGGAAACCGCAACAGATGACACGCAGTCCAACAAACGCATCCATGCTGAAGGGGAAAAGTCAGTCCGGTAGAGTTCCATGTCAATTGAGGCTCTATTCCATCTGGACTGTCTTACTAATACACAATGAGAATTATATTTTGGCTTGTCAAGTCCCAGGCCATAAAACAAAGTTTAATGGCATCACGTGTTTCCTCACAGCCATTCACAACAGGGCGCAGGCCCATAAATAACCCTGAAAGTTGCACTTACTCAATAATAGCGATTGCACTGATGTGCACTGAGGAAAAGTCGTGGAAATGAGGAAGCAGGGAAGCGGAAGGGATTTTGTAACAGTCACAACAGAAAGTGGTACAATTGCAAGCCGTGACAGAATAGCATGTTTTATTCCTACCGTGAAAACTGGGGAGAAAAATATGTGCGAGCTTTAAACTTCCATGAACAAACACCAAAGTATCCTGGTCATCTTAAATATTCATTTTAATCATTTTAATATTGAGGTGTGATGGAATCAAAACTACTGAAATCGAGAATTTCAATATTTAAATCTCCTGAAATCTGACGCCTTTTGACCTCTAAAGTGTTAACAAATGAACCACTACGCGTCACTGATTGGTGCCCGAATACATTTTTTTTTCTGTCCAGTGAACCTGTCACAATAGGACTGATGTCATTCATTCTTCCGGGCCAATCCCAGAGTGCAATGCTTTTTGCTCCTCCTCCTCCCCCTGCTCTGACCTAACCGGAGAGAGCAGACCATGTTGAGGTTTGAGTGGCTGCCACAGTGCGGCAGGTATAATAAATGTGAGGGCAGCAGATCAGAGGATTTGAATTTTCTTACATGTATGTCTTCATAAAAGCTTTTCCTTCCTTGCAGATTCAAATTCTGCCTACACATAACCCCTGCTTCTAGTTTTCATGTTTCCTCGAACTGTTTTGAACTTGTAAATAAAGTCGTTTTAATTGAATCATCCTGTTTATCACGAGGACACAGTTTACGATTATTGAATGACTGTTTGCTGGGGAAAGATGACAGACATGAATATTTGGAGGATTTCCAAACCAGCACAAAATGCACCATTGTATAATCTTAATGGCTGATCTCATTTGATAGCAGCCTTTAACGTATCTAGTGCCCATGCGCGCCACATGGGTGACTTTTCTGGCACCAAAACAACTTTTAGAAAGAAAACGAACTGGATCACGTGATTCCCGCCTCATCTACTTACAGCACCAAAGAGCATGCTAGTAAAAGGATTGCTAAATGGGACCAGAGAATCTGACTGTTGGGCAACAGCGCCTTCTGCTGGCATGATAAAGGCCTCTCCACAGTTCCACTGTAATAAATACAATAAATAAATAAATAAATATATAAAACATACACAAACCAGTTATTTCACCCAATCCTGTGTTTCATCAAACTGTTGATGAAGTTTTGAATGAGGGGAGAGGAGATTTACTGTTGGTATGCAGACCACTGATTTCAAAATTTGCTCAATTACTCCTCTAAATGATTCCCTCCAAAGCAAGTAGCCTAATGCAAGCTAATTCAAAACTAGGTTTAGTCAAGCTCTTTAAACACATTATATGAATTCAGAATAATTACCATAGCATATTTATATCTAAATATTTTCCTCTATTTGTAGAGTGAACATTTAAAAAAGACTATAATGGGAATATCTGTAGTAATAAACTGCAAAGTAGATGTTGAAATTGAAAATGCTGATGTTGTGGTGATGATTCATACTTAACATTGTTAATGAAAGCATCATTTATCTAAGTGGAAACAAAAAAACAATTAAAACTATTAAATAGAAGGCAAATGACAGCACATTTAGGTTCACATGGCTTGGCTTGAGCAAAAAAAATTAAAAAAAAGAAATCTCACAAAATATATTTTATGATTATATAAGTCTGTTGCTAAAGGGTCTAGACAGTCTGGATGTCTGAGAGGAGCTGAGTAGGAGTGAAGGGAGGAAATCCATTTATGGAAACTAATAAAAATATTAGTGGAGGGCCTGCGGTCACACATATACTAAATAATTGCGTGCATTACAAAAAACGCTTAAAACGTGTGATCTTTTTTTTTTTGCACTGTCAAAATGTAAAAGATCATGACTGAGTCCTATGTAATTCTCTCAGGCTTCTGCTTGTGCCTGTCTTTCAGGGTCCATTTTGCCGCATTGCAGTAAGGCTGTAAATACTTTCGCAGCTGCCTGTCAGGCAACAGTGAAATACTGTCTTTGTTCAGTTGGCCTCATCTCCAGGCAGCTGAAAACAAGTAGGAAAACTGAACTTTTGCTGCCAGGCTTTGTATACGTTCCATAAAGCAAATTAACTGAACTTTGTCTCGAGTATAATCCCTCATTTATTAGCATATAAAGCGAAACAGTGTGATGGAATATGGTGGCCTGAATACGCCAATACAGATTTTCTAGCAGGTTGAGAGATGAGGGATAATATAGCTACAATTATTCGTAGAGGCTGATGGAATTGGGATCTGTCTACAACCAATAACTTAACGCTGAAAGCAAAATAAGGAATGACCGGTTAAAGACAAAGCTCTCTTGCAGTGCACAGTGGAAAAAAAACTTCTCTGCATCAAAAACACAGCTCACACATCACCATCTGTGACCTCAGAAACAACTTCTATTTGTGCATCTAAGGCTTTAAAAAGGCATCAATAAACATGATGAAACGACTTGAAATCCATATGATATCTTCTTAAATATTTCTCTGTGGTTGTTGCATTATAAAAGGCAACTTGCCGGCTAAACGGACGTTTTTTTAATCATTATAATATAATGGCCAGACTTCTGTTACTGAACATGTCTAAAAACAAAAACAATTAATCCCAACACACCCAGCAACATGTGACTTCACCAAATTACCTGAGTGCCATTACCTTGCAGCTCATTTACATGACCAATGAAACAGGAAGCTGTCAAACTTTACATGCTCTCACACATGCCCAACTAATAAACGCCATTATCGCACAAGAAATCTTACCTATGGCGGTGAGGTACTCCATGCTTGCTCTTTGAAGTTTGCTCAGGCAGTGCATTTTGCCTGAAAGAGCCAGCACAGCTCTGTGAATGAAGAAGGTGGGATGTGGATAAAGTTGAAACGCTTCTCTTGTCATCCAGTAAAAGAAAAAACAATTAATTAAACAAACGACGCAGCGCCGGGAAAATATGCGCTGATCAGACAATTATGAAACGAATGGCAGGCGATTTTTAAGAGAGCAGACCGTAGTGTATCGGTTTAACACCATAGACAACGTGATACAGAATGCAGTGGGGGGAAATCGCCAGGGAAATCAGGAAAAGGGCCATGAAGACGTTTGCCTCTCGCACATGACCAGTGGCATCCAATGACAGGCGATGGAGGCACATAAAAAGGTCTATTACCAAGTTGTAAATTGTCCCCTCACAAAAAGGAATTTGGACTGCAGCAATTCTCTCCATCTTGGCGCATAATAGCAGAAGCCCCACCAGGTCCCCCAAGCAAGAGCTTTTCCCCCTGTTGTTGTTTTTTCTGTCGTCGTTTGCATCACTCAAAAATCTAAAACTTCATGCAAAGTGTACAGAACAACTAAGAAACGAGTCTGATTAAGTATATGGCATTAATCTTTTTTATTATTATTAAATATTTGGCAAAATCAAACTGATCCGAGGTTTGGATATCACAGTGTTAAAATGCATAATCTGCCATAGATCACGTTGATGTTTAACGTTTTGCAGAAATTTTACGAAACAAAATCTTTTGAGAAACCAAATATTTCTTGTATAAAATACAGAACAACTTTGTGCCTTTATTTTATTTCTCATCTGTGAGTTCACGGCCTGTGCAGCAGATGCTAGGAAAACGCCACACAATAAAACCAGCAAGTATAATTTACACCTTTTTTCCCTCATTAAAAGTCTAATGCTTTGTCGCCGGCCTTTTCCCGTGGATGTTCAGTCATTGTCCTGGAGGACAGATTTTCAACGGATGCGGGACTTTTGTGTTTCCAAATGATATTGCATATCAACGGCTTTTTTCCACCCTCTTACAGGCCAGCTGTTGTTTATTATTAGAGACAGAGACACACTATGGTGTGAAAGTTTTTTCGTGTAATTGAAACTCGACACTTAAAGACCTAAATACTGCAACTGCATGCAGTCTCTGCACATGTGTCTACGACTGCACCAAAGAGGAATTTCATGTATTTCACTCTCGTTCATCTGGTGGCACGCCAGAGAAAGCATCGTGCGATTTATAGTTAGGCTAGCCCGAGCAATGGCTCTGGTTTCCTGTCTTATAGCTCCCTTTCCTTTCTCTTTCCCCGCGTGTGTCCCTGTGAAAGAGGGAGAAAGATGCAAGACCTCAGGATTTGTTAAATCACATTGCATTGCGACTATGACGTTACTGTAATGTAGACTATACTTGAAGGCCTTTCTTTTGGAAGGAAATAGACTGATGCATTTTTACTGTACTTTTAACCTATCTATCTATCTATCTATCTATCTATCTATCTATCTATCTATCTATCTATCTATCTATCTATCTATCTATCTATCTATCTATCTATCTATCTATCTATCTATCTATCTATCTATCTATCTATCTATCTATCTATCTATCTATCTATCATATCTATCTCATCTATCTATATCTATCTATCTATCTATATATCTATGCAGGCACACACACACACACACACAGACAGACACACATACACACACACATATGGGGCATATCAATGTCATTTTTTCACTGTATGTCGGCGCCTCTTTGTTTGCGCCCAACATATATCTTGTTGCACGACTTTAAGCGTTTCGGCATGCCACATAATATACATTTATATAAATGAATCAATCACATATCAGTTATTCTGCAAACGACAATTAGGGCTTTGCAAAGTTTAAAAATCGTTTTCTTCTTCTTCTTTTTCTCCTTCTTTTGCCAAGTGGCTTTCACTGACAGGTTTAGTGCTGCATGCTTATTGATAGGCCGACACTGATTTTCTCAGAGACATAAATTCAGATCCTGGAATCATGTCAAAGTCTGCCTTCAAGAAACTAAAGATTAAAAAGGGTGGTGAACTAACTTAATGCTTACAGGCACATTTGTGTCATTATTTGCCAAGCACACTGACTCTATCTGTCTTTGTGACCCATTCTGAGCTACAAATTCCTCGTCACATTACTCCTGACCAGCCAGAGGCTGCCTACCCACACTTTTATCAAACCGCAGTGTTTCATTCGCTTTTGGAGAAGTGTCATTTAGTGTTCCTCCGCATTGTCATTCTATATTCATCCGCAGCTCTATTCTCATAGAAACACCGTGTAACGTCCAGGATCTGTTGAATAGGATCTAGAATATATAGTCATATTCTATGCTTGTTTCGTTGCAGTCGCTATGAAAACAAAAGCGGTTAAATTCATAAGCATATTTATAACAATACATCATTAAAAAAACATATTAAAAATCTAAAATTATATTGGGACGAGTGGGGGAGAGGAGACATTAAAATGCACTCCTGACAAGCGAACTTTAAAACTCATACATCACATTTGTTTTCTTTTCGTCTTCTTCTTTTCTTCGTTTTTTTAATGCGCACACAGTTCTCCCAACAATAAAATTAAATTAAATTAAATTTTAAAAAAAGTGTATTATGTGTCTTACGTCGTTTTTTTCTAATAAAGTTATCACTTTACGTTTTACTCTTTTTTATGTTAAATTGCCCTGATTATCTTGGCCTACACGCATAACATTAATACGGAAAGAGTCTGCATTGCAGCGTCAAAGGTATATAGTATTATAATATCAGTATATACATATATATATATATATAAATATATATATATATATATATACATACATACATACATACATACATGTATATATATATACATATATATATATATATATATAATAATATATTAATCTGTGATGGAAGCAGGCCTGTTCTGTTGTTTTTGTCCTGCTGTAGTGACTGTACACAATAACGTGCTCCTTCTAGGTCTATTATTCTCCTTTGAACCAGTAATTGAACCAGTACGGTCTCTAACTATTCGCATTATTTAAAGGGTAAGCAGCTTCCTTTGCAGAGACAGAATTCGATCCATTCCTCGTGTGTGTAAACAGTGTAGTCTCAAAAAAAGAAAAAACAACAACCAAGTTGAACGTGTGTTCAGCCGTTTCAATAGTGATTACTAAAGTGATGCTCACAGCAGTATGTGCTGCAACATCTCTTTATGGCTCCATAACTGCGCTAAAGCGCACAAACAGCAGAAGAAGGATAAGCTGCATTTTATTTCACGAAATGAGTGTAAGGTATAAAAATAAAGCAAAACAACTTGGATTTACATATAAAAAGAAAGCTAAATCTGAGTGTACTTGGTGTGTTTTATGGTCAGTGAATTGACGCCATTTTTAAACTGTAATTACTTATTTTAATGTGAGCTTTGTGAAACAGAAAGCACTACAGTTTACATTTTAAGTAGTAGTAATATTATTAATAGTATCACAACAAGCAGGACACTGTGGGACAGTCTAAAAGGGACAGGCTACTTCGCTGGTTATTTAACAATAACAATAGCAGGCTAATAATAATAAAACGACGAGGCTCAGAGACATGCCCTTTAAAGGAAAAAACCATCTGTGAAAGATCAGTGTCTCTGTTGTTATTTTCTCTGCATTTACACGGTGGGCTGGGTCTGCTTCTGCCTTCAGAAAGCCTTCTCTCTAACGATTAAATTTCGCTTCTCCTTTGTGCAAATGTGTGACATATTGCTGAAATATGGGGCCTGGGAGCTGTCAGGAGATTTCAAAATCAGTATAAGGGTGCTGCAATAACCGATTAGAAAAATGGGGCTTTCAGGTTTTGGAACTGTTAAAAGTAGAGCGCTCTTCTTCACACACGTTCATCAGGGCATAAGACGTTTATGATATAAATCAGTAAAAACATGGACAATGGTATGGACCTTGCCTTGTCTACGTGTTCCAGCTGTGAATAGGCTGCTTTAGCTGAGACTTAAAGGACAACATCGCCCTCTAGCGCTCCCGGTATTCTTTCCAGGGGCCCTGAAGCTCCAGTAAAGGTAAACAGATTGCTTTTAGATCTGCAACTTTCTGGATTCCTGTTTTAATCAACAAGTTCCACTGAAGGTGGTTTAAGAACAAAGAAAAACAAAGCGTGTTAGCTCCTGCCCGTAAAGTACAATTAAGACACGTGCTCTTCTTGACCATTTCAGTACACAGTCCCATCAGAAGATAAGACTGCACCACACAGCAGTCAAAGTTAAGTTTTTTTTCCCATCGGTGGGAAGTGCAATTGATGAATACACGTGACCATTAAGGTGGGGGGTGATTTCCTCTAAAACAATTCATCGACCAGACACCCCATGGAAAAGTGTCTACACTCTGTTTGTCAGCAACAGACGCAAACACCCAGGAAAAAGGGGTTTTCAAAGGAGAGTGTAATTACTGGCCAGGCCCATAAAGTAATTTAGGCCAGACGTCTAGCCATTTCTATAGCTTTATTGGACCGCGGTTCTTCCTGCTTTAAAGTAATTGTTCGTACAAGTTGGACCATAAATTGGAAATTCGCCGCAACACCTCTCCCAATAGCAAACATTTTATGACTTGGAGCACTACTTTTCAAAAAAACACTAAAATCTTCCGTTTTTTAAAGTTATTTTTAAAGATGTTTTAAATAATATTTAGTGGGGGTTTAATATAATTTTAATATGTGGGTTGCTAATAAGAACATCCAGCCATTACATATTGAATATTATGTTAAATAGTGCTGTTCTCTATTAGGTTACATGGCCTCGATAAACCGCATTTGGATAAGTAAGGCCTTAGGGGATATGCTTTGGTCTAATACAAATAAATTAAAGAGCAAGGTGCTTACGTCAACATGTCAAAAATACGAATAAAGGATAAAATCTTTATGCATTTATTTTTGATTTAGACTAAAGGGAGATTTTTCCTTTCCTAAACATGGCACCTTGTCATGAACTGTATGAAAGCTTAAAAAATAATTTAGGAGGTTTTAAAAACAAAGATTTTAAGCAAAATGTCGTTAAAACTGGGCAAATTCTGGCTTTACTGAAACTGCGTCCCGTGTGTGTAGTGACATAGACAGCAGTCGAAGTAGTTGCTCTGAATTCTTTTTATATTTATATATATATATATATATACACACACAAATCCAAATAACAGCAATACACATACATGTTTCCTGCTGCGTAAACATCCCACTTTGTTGCGTAAAACTTTCAGTTGGCTTGAAACATTGTTCGACAAATCCTCTGTGGGTCTCATCAAGGCAAATTTTTTGCACGTGTGATGCATATTTGGCCAAATAACCCCAGAACGCTGACACTTAATAAATGTTTAAAAATAAAAAAAATAATAATAATAAGATTAAAAAAAATAAAATGGCTAAGGAGGCTCCTATCAAAAATCATTATAATTGTTCACATGGCTTCCTTGGTACAAACGTCAGAATGTGTGAAACGGCACCAGCACCGGACTTATAGCTGCTCCTTGCCGTTCCTCTCTCTGTTCATCTTCTTCATTTTCATCCTCCTGTTCTGGAACCAGATCTTCACTTGTCTCTCCGTTAAACTGAGTATGCGAGCGACTTCATAGCGCCGGTCTCTTGTCAAATACATGTTGTAGAGGAACTCCTTCTCTAGCTCTAAAGTCTGATATTTTGTGTAGGGACATCGCTTCTTTCTCGTCGAGCGTGCGTGAATCCAATTTGCTGCAGGGTTACCTAAAGGCACATAAAGCAAATACACATGTGATTAGTTGTTTGGTTTTTCCCCTTTTTATTGTAACCTTTAATAAACCGTAGCCATTGTTTTTACTTAATGGGGCTCAGAGACTTGCGGTCGGTTTCATTGAAGCAAAAGAAAATGAGAACTGTTGCCTGTTATGTCCAAAGAGGACTATTTCGATTACATGATTTCCTGTTTGTACCGATTGCCCCCGTGCACCAACAGAGGGAAATAGATCTGTACTTAGGTATAAAGTCTCTTTAGATGCAGTCTTATCGAAATATTAAGTTGTGTATCTATTTCGGGTGTCCCGTGACATGAAAAACATTAGGATCCCTGCAATAACCCTTGTAGGGCGGGTTCTCCCCCTTTCGGAGCAACAGTATAGTACGAGACACTTTTATAGGTTAGTAAAACCTCCAGTTTTACACACCCGGCTCATACAGTTCTTAAAGTTGTAAATCAGCACCGGCTATTTCGTTTACTTACTTGGGTCAAGTTTTTGTTTTTCCTCTTTGGGTTCGCTGTGGCTCGAAAGCTCACTTCCACTGTGTTCTTTGGTTGTTTTTTCTGGACACTCCGATACTCCACACGTGAATTCGCCAGCGAGCGGCCGAGCCTCCGCTTCCAACGTGTCACAATCTGAAGATTTAGCTGGCAAGACCTCTGGCTTTGTCCCGTACGACCGACTGCTGGAGGGGAATCCGGCGAACGAAACGTGGTTCGAAATGGGGTCCATCCACGGTCGGACGCTAACGTATCTCCCGTCCGACGCAGGCAGATGGGACTGGTGGTGGTGGTGGTGGTGCACATATGGATGATAAATCCCCTGAGGATGAACTGAGGACCAGGACGGCGAGAAAACAGCGGATTTCGGTGCAAAATTACACGAGGAAAAGTCTGCGTTGTCCCCAGCACCTGACGGCCTCGGGGTCATCGCGTGTGGAGCCTGAATAAAGCGAGCACCGTACACATCCTCCGGCTCCTGCCCCATTATAGCGTCCACATAGCAGTTACTGAGAGTGCCACTGGAAGACATTTTTGATGGCTTCCTACTCATATAATAAGGGTTGCACTGTTACGGGAAGCTTCCCTTTATGAACAATCATAGTATTTTTGCTGGCCCGCATCTACAGGGATTGGTTACATGGATCACGTGGTCATATTTACCAATACAGCGAGTAAATCAATCCTGCCCTTGCCCACCCCCCCTTTTTTTCGTCAGGTTTAATTTAGCTTTTCATTTCTCAAATAATAAAAAGCCCATTCTGATGTGACTAGTGGGAGAAAACTAACGCTCAAATAAAATGCCCCTTTTTTAATGAAGATGTGAGGATGTTTCAACAAAACCTACAGTCTGTTGTTCTGTTTTTTAAAGGAGTAAGAAACATTTCCACCAAAAAGCACACACGGCGTCCAAAAACACGGATTCCTTCTGTCTTAATCCTTCAAGGGGGAAAAAGCTCTTCTAATATCGTTCTGTCCCGATACCCTCAATCCCAGTAAAATGGTTTATGGACTTACAGAGTCCTCGTAAAATAGATGTAATAACATGTTGTAAAATAAAAAAGACGCCATTTCAGCTCACAGTGCGGTGTATCCATTGTTAATATTTTGGCAAGGAAACGTATTTTCTGAGTTGGTTTAATTTTTTAAGTTGAGGCGGAAACAGCAGCAGTCGTGAAATTATTATATTCATTGAAAGGAGAGTAATAATGTATCAATAAATGTTTTACGAGGTGCGTGTGATTATACATGCCGTCAATAAAAAAAAAAGACTTGGAGGAGTCCATGTGTGTATTGCTCTCTGAAAGGTGTAATTTAGCACTAATAGCCTGCACATCTTGCCATGTTTCTTCTTCTACTTTTTTACCTACTTTTTTCACTATGTCATTTTCTCGCACTGTGTAAGGCAAAATGTCTCGACCTTGGAGATAAAAACTAGGTCAAATCTGAGGAGGGGATCAGAAATTGTGTTACGTTATCAGACGCTTGAAAAAGATTTGTGGCAAGCTAAGAAGGCCACACGAAGTTATTTTGTTGATGAAAATGAAGGCTGATTTCGCCACGAAGAAAGGGAGAGCCGAAAGTAATTTACTCCGTCCTCTAATCCTTATAGGCGGTGAGTTTAATTATAAACAGGCCGGCACGCAAAAGCTAAACCAACTTTATTCCATTACACAATCAGCCATCTTCACATGATTTTGCTAAGCTTGTTCTTTTGCACCCAGATAGACTTTAAAGGAATTCTATCTTGTTATTCATACTAATTTTACTTAGATTTTATTTTTAAGTCGTTTTTAGCCAGAATTTGCCTTCCTCGAGTAGCCTACGCGTAAATGAGCGTGAGAATATATTTTTCTGAATTTAAGAAGGTTAGATTAAAAGTGTTGGAAGTCTACAAACAAACTATTTCGGCTCGTCTTCAGATGAAGTTGCGGCATAATTACAAACGTTTGGCGAAACTGGAAACACAAATGAGGGACGCGTTCACACTGTTTTGCCTGCTGTTTTGTGCAACAAGCTTGGAGGAAATTGTTCTTTTTCTTGCCTTTTCCTGCTCGGAATGGGACTGTTTTTTGAAGGAAAACAATGCTTGCGTCAGTGCAAATTAATTTCGGATAGCCTACTCACAGTGCTGCTAAAACCGAGGCAGGCTATTTGCCGAGCAGAGACCGTGTAGCACGGACAAATCTAAAACAAGATCCTTTGACAATATATTTATTGCAAGATACATGCCACAAACATGCAATAAATTCACAGATTGACATTGTTTTGTTCTGTATTTTTTCCATCACTTTAAAGCCCATAGAAACATTTCACTATCGAGCACACGGCTTGCACTTACTCTTAAACAAATGTTGCACTAGACGACAATAAATGTGCTTTCATGACTGAAATAGAGTAACCTTTTCCACAGCTCGGCCGGATACCCATGTCTTTTTAGTAGAAGAGAAGCACCCTCCAATAATTTAAGACCACAAAGTGTTACCCTGTGATGAAACAAAACAAATACAGGACGCCACGCAAAATAATAATAATAATAATAATAATACAAATAAAAAAATACTAAGATTGGCAATACAGTCACAGTTTTGTTGATTTTGAGATAAATGTCCAATGCCAGCGAAGCATCAATATGTGAAGGACGAGGAGGAGGAAAGACAGCTAACACATGCAGCCTCACGAAAAGGTGAGATTTGAGGTCAGTTCACGGATGCGGTTTTCCCTGTTCATTTTCTTCAGCTTCATCCTGCGGTTCTGAAACCAGATCTTGACCTGCCTGTCGGTCAGGTTAACGCTCCTGCTGATCTCTAGGCGGCGCTCTCGGGTCAGGTACATATTGAAGAGAAACTCTTTCTCCAGCTCCAGGGTTTGGTGCTTTGTGTAGGGGCACCTTTTCTTTCTCCCACTTTTTGCTGTCAGCCAGTTGTTTGTGAGAGTGTCACTCTTGCAGTCTGCAGGGATTCAAATCAGAGAGATCAGAGTTTTATTTTTTATTTATTTATTTTATTCTTTTAGCGACGCACTGAGCGTCCTCTCGAACAAAAAGCTCATCAGTTGCTTTGGATTTCACCTCTGGGAAATAACGCACAACATTTCCCTGAATAAATAAAATGCATGGGTTGTTATTAGTCACTCACATGCCATCACTAATAAAACAAAAATGAAATGAAACCCCAAATGATCAACCCGCACACGAGGAATACGTGTGTATATGGCCTGATTTTTTTTTCTGTAAATCCTGATTTAAATGGTGAATTAATATGAATCGTGTAAGATTTCATAAGGAATTTGACATATTTGACTTATTTTGCAAATTGTCAAAACTGGATTGGGGTTAGGGTGAGATTTCTCCTCATCATTTTTCATCTTTTTCCAAAACTTAAAAGTTCACACATTTGCCAAACAGATGTTAGAATGAATCACTGGAGCTTGATTTAACGCTTCAATTTATGAAAGCTGTGCAATATGCTCACATAACACAAGATTATGCATTTAAAAAAATATGCATATACTTTAAATATCCAAAGAACAGGAGGACATAGGCTTCATGCTGCATGGTAAAACCATTCTCTGTTGCCTATCAGTGCAACCTGAGAAAGACTCTCATTAAACATTACGACTTTAGGGTTGTTTGTGTTTTATACTTGGTTTTATGATGCTGGAGCCTTCTCAGCACCGCGCCACGAGATAAAAGCTTTCATTACAGCCAACCCACCTTTCCCTTCCTTCTGTAGCAACTCAGGACTGGACACAGGCGCTTCCACTGAGCAGTTTTTCTCCTCCGAGCCGGACTTGGGATCCGGGCTTTCTACGGGGACCGGCGTTCTTGCGGTTTCCGGGTTTTGCGAAGCGTCCTCAATTTTTTTATCCACCTCTGAGAAATTAGAAGATGCCGACGAGGGCTGCGGTTTCGGGGTGACCCGGCTGAGCTGCATCAGTGTCGCGTTTGGACTCGGTGCTTCATGGCAGTAGTTTTCCTGATGCTTCCCGTTCGCATAAGTTTGGCTCAGTCTGAAATAGCCGGGAACCGGGATCTCGGGACCATCGACCGGACACGATTCAGGAATAACGTTAGAATATGCGGGGACTTCTGAAGAGTTGACTTTTTGTACTCTCTTATCGGAGTACATGCAGCAATTACTCTCTTCCTTTATGCTCTGTGAAAATGTACAGTTTGACATCTGATTGGGAGGCTCTATTCTGCAGGGTCTGCTCGGATCAGTCCAGTTATCTATCTGAGGTATGTACGAGTGGACGTTCATGCCCATATTTTGGTGGTTGACCTCCCCTCTTTTGCCGAAAGACGGCAGGAGTCCACAGGTTTGCATTCCGTAAGTTCCCATTTCTGAGCCAGACGGCATGTACATGTTGCTGTTGGAGTAAAAGCTGTCCGTCCTGCAAGCACCAATTAAAGAGTCCACTAAAAATGTATTTGCCACAGGAGAGCTACTGGAGAAGGACATTTTTTGAATTTAAGTTCTTAGGAGGAGAGAGATGTCCTTTGTAAGCTGACATATCTAGGAAAAACAATCTGTAAGTCAGGATGCCTCCCAACCACATGACAAGCCCACCAATGAGATTTGAAAATGGCCTTGAGACGCAGCCTCCTCTCTCTGCACACACTCGCACTGCGGATGCAGACGTGGTCAACAGCGACACCTACAACACGGACTTGAAATTGGTTTTTGCAGAGAGTCGCGCACGTTTCCACTGGGCATCGCGGGACTTGGAGACTTATTCGCGAAATTGAAAGAAATGCGTCGAAAGGACCATTTGAATCCCAACAAAAACTGCTCGCCTTCAATCTAGTCTCAGATTTATAACGACAGACGCGCTGTGAAGTGTTTATCAGTGCACCAACTTGAAGAATATGCGTGTCTCTTTTGTGTGGAAGACATTCTCGAGAGAG